AAAGGCAAAACTTCCTTATACTGAATCACACAATCAGTCCATCTAGCCCAGTATTGACCACACTGTCTAGTAGAACCTCTCTGGGGTTTCAAGTAGAAATTCAGGGATTGGGATGGGGACAAGGAAAACTAAAATCTGCACAGGCTTCAATCCTAAAACAGGAGGGGGGGAGAGATTTTCCATCTCCTCTTTCACAAAAAGCACCAGAATAGTTACTGGAAATTATCTGCAATGGGCTGAAGATCGAAGTTTTTGATGATTCCACTATTATTAGTAGTCGTTTTATTTAAACTAAGTCTTCTGGTCTTCTACAGAGGTTTTAAGGGGATACAAATTGCTACCGGTGGTGCAGAAGAGAATTTTTCATTCACTTCCTATAATTCAAGCTGCTTAAAATAATTGGTTATTAGTCAAAATTCTAACACACAACTGAATTAAATGCTAGTTTATCATCTGACAGGTCACAATCTCACACTAAATTACTCTTATGTGAACAGTTAACATTTTAATTCTTATGCAGAGTAGAAAGTGTGCTGTCTAAATTTTCTTTCAGTCTTTTACTCATTGAAGGGTACCAGAGTTAAGCATTTGATACCCAACAGCTACCCTCTGCTGATGTCATGGATCACAATCCTGTACTTATTCCAACATCTCAGTATTAAGCAGGAAACACAAGACACACATTCCATACACTTAATCAGACTATGAAATGCTCAAAGGCTACAAAGTTAATCACATTTATTATAAGTATTTCCTGCTGAACATAAAGCAACTTTCTTCTGGGAGAGCTTGTACTGGTTTGTACTGCAAGCTAAAGTTGCCAGAAGCTTTTGAACTACATCTTATTTACCCCACCCTTTTCTTATCTTAGAAGAGCCGTCATAACTACAAAAATGAAACATACAAATCAAACTTTCAAGGAGGACAAAAATCAATACGAAAACGCTGTTAACTATGCCTGTCTAGAAGTAAACTGCCTCAAGTTCAAGAAATCTCTACTGCTGCTTACTGAGTTGCGTGACATGGCACACAACAGAACATCTACAATGATTTCTGAACCCAAGTTAATTTGCCTCCAAAAATTATGCTGTTTGCTTTACACTGGTGTAAAATCCCAGTAAGACTTTGGTCATATTTTTTAAATTTATAAAATAATGTTTATATTTTACATTACTTTAAAAAAAAGACCTACATGATGGATGACACATCTACTTCAAACTATCTTGTAGTCAAATATCTCATTACAGAATTAGGATTATGAAACCTAATTCTATATTTTGAGATAACATATTCATTTCATCTTTTTCTTAAAAAGTTGAAGTGGGATCCAACAGTTCTTATAGTAGGAGCTCAGTTTTGAGAAATCTCATAAGCTTCTATTTAGTTTACTCTTTCTGTCTTTCCTGGTACTCAGTCTGGTGGACATCTCAGTAAAATCTGCTTAACTCAGGTTTGTGCCCTAAGAGAGTAACAACAATGCATGCAGATTTCGAAAAACAAATCTGTTTAAGCCCTGTTTTCATCCATTACATGATATAGTTAGTAGAATAATGGTCTAGAGTGACCTTCGTAGGAGGTCTAGAGTGACTGAATGGAAAAGATCCTTTTTCTTACCTCATCTTTCCTACTTCATAAGTGCAACAGCAAAACACACCTTGGAAGTTCATCAAAAACATGTGTGCCATCATTCAATTCTGGACACCCTATTCAGGGTTTTCCAGGTAGACAGTAACCTGTTTCCCCAAAAATAAGCCCTAGTATGTTTTTTTCAAGATGCTTGTAATATAAGCCCTACTCCAAAAAATAAGCCCCAATTAAATAAAACCCCACCCTACACCACTGTGCAGCATCCAGAAAAAGAAGACATATGACTGTATTTGAATAAATGTAGATTGTTATACATAAAAAAATCCCCTGGAAATAAGCCCTAATGCATTTTTGGAGCAAAAATTAATATAAGACCCTGTCTTATTTTCAGGGAAACAAGGTACTCGGAGCCCCTTCCTCTGGGGGCATCCTGTGACTATGCAGCCTTCCTAAGCCCACTCAGGCTGGCTCTTCTGGGATGAACAGTGAACTCCCAGCTGCTGGCTCTACAAGCCGCTGAGCTATCCAGCCAGCTGAGTTCACTATGAAAAATAGTGATTTTGTGCCATCAAGTCAGTTGTGACTTATGACAACTCTTTTCAGGATTTTCTAGTTTAAGTGTTCTCAGAAGTGGTTTACCATTCCCTTCTTCTGGATGCATGAAGGAGAATTCCCCAAAACCCCACTGCATATTGTTTGGTCTTTAAAAGGATCGAGGCCCAGGAAAAAAAATCTAAACTAGTTAAGCAGATAAAAATGCTTTAAAGAAAGTAATCATGGGTGGCTACAGATTTCTGAACCTACTAGTTTTAAGACTGTCTTCAATACACTGTTATCACAAAGAAATGTCATCTTTGGGCCTTGAGATGGCAAAGGTAAAGGTTCCCCTTGATGATTGTCCAGTCGTGTCCAACTCTAGGGGGCGGTACTCATCCCCATTTCCAAGCCATAGAGCCAATGCTTGTCCATAGAGTTTCTGTGGTCACATGGCCAGTGTGACTAGACACGGAACACCGTTACCTTCCCAACATGGTGGTACCTACTTATCTACTCACATTGTTACATGCTTTCGAACTGCTAGGTTGGCAGGGCTTTGAGATAAGGTCCTGCTAAAAGTCCCACAACCTCTGAAGAGGGAGAGAGGACAGGACAAGAACTAACTTGAAGCAGATTGTCTTCTCTGTAGAGGAGCAACCAAAGATGACAAGGTAGGAGTGTACAAAGTTGCACTCTGAGACACTAGTACAGTCCCCAGATATCTCTTTGCTCCTCCTGTGTTCTGCACATGGAGAAGGAGAAGGGAAAATGAAAACAGCTGGGCCAAGGCTGGCTCCAGTTGGTTTTCCAGTTTCACCTTCCCCACACAGAGAAGGTGGGAAAGGAGCAAAGCCAGCTGTGTACTCAGCCACTGTACTGAGGTGCCAGGCATGCGTACTTCATGCCTTTCCTGTATAGGCAAGTTGTGCACTTTGAGGAGCTGGCCAAGTTCTGATCAACAGGACTCTGTCAATTCCTCAGATGGATTGCTGTGTACTACACTTCTCCTATTTGTATAGAAGATGAAAAGAAAAGTGATGAAGGGTCCAGTGCAACAGTTAGAGCAACTCCAGTGAGCACTTTAGCTAGAGAGCTCCTTATAACCAAGAAGGGCATCACACCCATTCGGAGTCATACAGCTATAAGCAGCAAACAGGTATCTGAGGAAGGTTAAAGAGTAGCAGATATATACCCTGTATGGGAACTTCCAGGCTTCACTCACTAACATAATTTAGATCAACTATGCTAGCTGAATGCTTTTCAGTGGCTGGTTCTACAGCAAATCTACTGAGCATGCTATTTGTATATATATTTTAGTAAGGAAAACGAATAAAAAGATTACAGAAGCATCAGTGATGGGGCTCTCACAATTTGCTGCCTAAGGAACCAAATATATTCTCTCTCCTAACAGAGTAATAAGGTGATTGCTTATGCAGCTGCAGGAAATAATAAAAAACATGAAAAGACTATCTACTTTTCCACAGAAGGCTGTATACCCAATTACACAAATTAACTCATTTGCTGCTGCAGACATTGGCAATTGCTTTTGCTGATTTCACAGGAAAAAAGGAACTTACAAGTATTTCTCTTGCTACTGAAGAAGCTCTATGGTTTGTTTGGCACAGAGGTTTCATGACATATGAACTTGTAATCCTAACTGTTTATTCAATGTCAATTTATGTTCAAGTAGCAGCATGTGACTAAAATGGTACATGATGAAACATGCAGCTTTGCCCATCCATTTAATTCATTTCATTCAAAGCCCCCAGATATGCAGCCTTTTTCTAAACAACACTTACATATAATTCTATATAAGTTTACCTGGAGATAAGTGATCAAAAGGACTTACTAAGTATGTGTATTCACAACTATAGTTAAGGGATCAGTAAACACTAGGGCTGCTTCTTAACTACATCTTGTTGCACACATATAAACAAGAAGGCAGCGATCTGAGAAATGTCTGCGAACTGTACTGTTCCCAGCAATGTTTTTTTACTAGTTCTACTGCTTCCTATTGTGTAAATCTCTTCAGTTTGGTCTCTGATGAGGTCATGCTTTACAATACTATTTTTCTTTACAAAACATCACATGCATGTTCCACCCATAGTTAATCAGCAGAAACATACTTGAAAGATAAAGGACTATATTTAGTTGTAAAGCATAGATTTCCTTTTCAAACCTGCTTTTTAGAAATATTGTTAATATCTGATGTTTACAAACACTGAGTTTTCTCAGGGAAAAAAGTTGGTATGAAACAGAGAAGCTGGAGTACCATACAGACTGACAAATCCCACTCATCATAAAAAATACACATATTAGCCAGAATCAATATTGGCGAGTGTGTACAAGTGAAATTGTACAAGTTGCAGCAGCAAGGGTTGTTAACTAATGAGACATTAGTCACATTCCTAGTTATGTGCCTGGGCATGCAACTGGGAAAGCAACCAGAATTTCATTAATTAGCAGCAGTTAACTGCCACGACACAAAATTTCATTTATGTACACATAAATTACAAATGGGATTTTGACCATTGCTTACTTTGACAACTGCTAACAAAGCACTTTAGCAAAAAGGACAATCCATATATATATGAACAAGAAATGTGCAACCTAAATTCTTTCTCATTTCTTGTTTTTATTATTCTTCAGGCACCAAGGAAGCATTCAGATTCCTGAATGTAAAGCTGCAAGAATAACTTAGGACAAAAAAATCCAACATGTTTGTCAGAAGACGTAAAAATAGAAACACATTCAGCAGCGTTCTAAGGATTATGGGATATTTATAGCATAGTTCTCAAGTTCTAAAAAAAAAACATGTTTAAGCGCATACATTTCAGAACAAAATCAACATCAAAGAGAAAAGCAGTCTTTCATACCTTGAATACTTTGCCAAAAGCACCATCACCTAGTTCTCCTATGATTTCCCAATAGTCCTCTGGATTCAAGTCTCTCTTTACATGCTCATACTGTTTCTTCTTCTTTTCACCTCCCAACTTGAAGATCTTGCGAAAGTTAAAGAAGGACATTATTTCCCTCGAAGTAGCTCAAAAATTGCAAAAGAAAAATGAAAATAAAAATCCTCAGATTAAGTAGACAAAGGTCTAGCTCTTTCCAACAGTTTTTTTCCTCTTGCTTTGTGATCCAGTGGGATTAGAAGTACACAACTGTGACTGTTATGCCACGTGATAATCCTGATGCAGCTAGCAAAGAAGTAGATACAGGCACAATTTTCGTACTAGGTTTTTACTGCACTAAGTGTACAGCAACCCAATATTAAACAGGACAGGTAATTATAGTGACTAGCTTCGCTCAAGTTTATCATACTAGTTTTAGTAACCTGAATCAGAGGACACGACTAATTCCTTGTTCAGAGCACCTGTACCATAGTGCACCATAAGGCCCCAAAAGATGTTATCAGAAAAAGTCCATAAATTATCTGCAACCACAGGGGCTGAGACTTAGCCAACTAAAATAAGTATCAATTATTTAGTAGCATCAGTTATAGTTTTTGCTTCAGGTACAAGCTTCCTCCTTCTTGGTGGACAACTTCACAACTCCAGGACTGTGAAAAACGTGCATCCTCTTTCATTCCGTGGGCAAAAGACAACTCTTGATGAAACAATTCTCCGCCTGTTGAAGGGGTGGGTGGGGAGAAGGGAAAAAGGGAGAGGAGGGAGAAAGAGACAAATGGAGAAAAGTGTCAACTCCCTAACTCAGGACCGTCTTGGGACTCTCCCCTAGCTAGCCTAATGATCCTCCTAATATTTTTTAAAAACTTGGCCATTTCCTTTAAGGAACCAGGAGCTCCTTTTGCTTTAAACATCTAAACAACGCCCAACCAGAGTTACTGAGGCAAAGTGGAGTTCCCCCCCACTGAGCGCAAGGAAGGGGGGGTCGGAGGCGAGCTCTTTCCCCCCCAAGCAGCAGCAGTTACACACACCCGTAAGAACCACGATCGAAGCACACCCTCTCTGCCTTTTTCTTATTTTCGTCGAAGAAAGACGGGACAGGGACGCGAGGAACGGGACCCATTACCTTCAATCTCTGAGGAGTAAAGGAAAGATGCACCATCATAGCCGCCGCCGCCACCGTCTTCACCGCTCCCACTTCCTCCGTCTCCTCCGGATAAAAGGCGGGGCAGAGGAATAAGGCTTATGCGATTTCCTCTTCTCTCCTCCTCCTCCTCCCAACCGCCTCAAAGCTCGCCTCGCGCCTCTCTCTCTCTCTCTCTCTCTCTCTCAACGACGACGGGGTGCTGCTGCGCACGCGCGCTCTCTCGTTCTCTGAAATGGGGGGGGGGGCTGGAAGAGCCGCTCCCAGCTCGCGTTTGAAGCCGGGCCGGCCACAAACTAGGCCACGCATGCGCGCGCGCCCACAAGTTCCGTCAGGCACGTCTTTCCTCCAGAATTTCCAGGCTTCGTATACAGTACTGTAGTTACGTTGTGGGCGGGTGAAAACAAAACAAAACATAAAAACAGGGTGGAACGAGGGAGGAGGGTGTGGAGAGAAAGGAGGGAAGGACTCGCCAGGGTCGTTCCAACGCCTGCACTTGGATGTCTTTCCGGTGGTTTGGGCGTCTTGTTGGTCACGTGAGGTCGGCGCCCGCACCCAGGCGCGCTAAGGAGCCAATCGGGAGGCGCCGAGCTCTCTCTGGCGGGCAAGTCAGGCAGAGTTGGGGGTTGAGGGAGGGCCGAGGTTGGAAGGCGTCGAGGACGCGGGGAAGGGGGTCGCCGTCGTGCGAGGCGTCTTTGCGAGGTCTCCGGAGAAGGCGCCTCGGCATGTTGGCGAGGCTCAAGGGGGAAAAACAAAAAGGGAAAGGACAACCCGCTGCGTCGCTTTGTGTATGTGGAAGTGAATTTCGACCCACGGAAACTCCCGCTGGAACAGCTGTGGGTTTTTAAGTGGGCACAATGTTTTTGTCCTTTTGCTTGTTCGTTTTCTCTCTTATTTTTGATAACCCGTCGTGAAGGGCACTGCTAAAACGGGGCGTGTGCGGCTTCAGTCTACCTTGCAGATGATTGAGTTAGAAAGAAGAATGGATCAGTTCGCAGGAGGATTTCTCTAGTCATAGGGCGAGGCGGGGACAAGTTAAATGCATCTCCTATATTTCCCAGCCGCCTTGTCCTCCCCTTTAGGATTTGGGCCTCAAACACCGAAGTGCTCGTATTTCTAAGTGAAACTGAGCTCTTCAAAGTTTGCTGACTAGTTATAAACTCAAGCTGTTTATAGTGCTACAGGATTTTTGAGGAACCTTTTTTTCTTTGCAGAAGTACAGAGCCTAAATCGTGTGCCTGTGCAACATACAGGTGAATGGGAGATGTATTGGAAGCCACACGTTTTGTTACACTACATACTGTCATTCCTCAAACATGGAATACTGTATGTCTGTTAAAGTAGTGTCTCAGACATGTATTGGTGAGTCTATATCAGTGGTTCCCCCCCCCCTTGGGTCCCCAGATATTCTTGGATGAAAACTCCCAGAACCCTTCGCCAGTGGCCAAGATTTCTGGGAATTGTACTCCAAGAACACCTGGGTTACCAGAAGTTGGGAATCACTGATTGAAACCAATCGTTCCCAACCTTGAGTCCCCAGATGTTTTCAGACTGCAATTCCCAGAAACCTCAGCCAGCAGCTGGTGATGAAAGCTTCTGGAAATTGCAGTCCAGTAACAGCTGGGGACCCAAGATTGGGAGCCACTGGTCTTGATGGAACATAGGTTTTCATAATAATTATTAGGAGTTCACTCTCAATCCTCATGTCCTCCTGTAAGAGTAACATGATCTTTCTGACTAGTTTTATGTGCCATGTAATACCTCTTTGATGATTTGCTCTCCTCATACCTTCGCCCCCTTGGTGTTTTTCTTTGTCCCCTACCCACTAGCTTCTCATAAATGATAAATGTAAGAGCAGAATGTCTGTAAACACAGCCATGGCCTTCTGAAGAAAAGTGGTGTTTTTGTTTGTATCTTTGGATAACTCAGGTTCTCTGACAGAATGGTGGGTGGGGCTACTATGTTAAGGCATAGTTTCTGATTTCCCAGCTTTGTGGAGCTTTAGTCAAAATAACATAACCTTAATTCTTTTCTTAAATTCACTGATTCAAGACGTTTGAAGCACCGATGCATCTTTGTTATATATTGCAGTAGCATTTTATTACAAGAATACTGTGTGACATATGAGCTGTACAGTATAAATGGTATTGTACTACAGTATATATAAGCTTCAGGCCTAGATACTGCTGTAGGAGGAGGCTAGTTTCAGGTGCTCTGGATCTTTACCATTAGTGGAGCAGAGGTGATACACATTTGCTACTCTCACTATTTAGTTTGACATGTAGATCTATGGTTAGACATGTAGATCTATATTTTAGTCATATATATGGTTAGACATGTAGATCTATATTTTAGTCATATATGATATAATATAGGAAGGTAACTCATCAGATTCACACAACTTATTTCATTCATGTTTCGAAATTAGATACAGGTATTTCTTTTTCTGTTTTAGAGTTTTCAGTCTATCTCCTCAACCACTTTATTTCTCAGTATTTGCTGATTGTAGTTCACTTTCCTCCCCTTAATTCTGCTGCTCTGTTTTACTTTTGTTCCTCCAAAAGACTCATATGCTTCTTGACCAATCTCAGGCTAGTTCAGATAATTGAATGTGAACATGTTCTGACAGCTTTTTAAGCAGTCCTAGTTCTATCTTTTATCTTTATTTCCTAATCAGAGTTGTAATCATCCTCATAATCTTAGAATTGTAGAGCTCGAAGGGACCATATGGATTATCAAGTCCAGCCCTTCTAATGTTTCCTGCTTTCCAGTTATCATGTCTTACTTAGGCTGTTTTAATGCTTCTAATTTCCTTAAGGTAAAACCCCAGCTGAAGATAATGAGAAAGTTATCTCTTCTCCTCCTGCTATCTCCTGCAGTCACTCCCCTGCTTTGGCTTTTGTGGAATCTTTTATTGGTTACTTTCCTCTGACTGTAATGACTCTACCAGTTTTCCTAGAGCTTGTTCTTCTGTGCTACTATCTGATCATCATCTACTTCACTAGTATTTTCTTTTACATCAGGAATGTTCACAACAGTGATAGTAATAGGATTGGTGACATTGCTTTTAATTTGTAAGTAATGATACTGCAAACAAATCTTTGACGTTCTTCACTGACAGACATGGGAGACCTGTAAAGTGGGCAACAACAGATTCATAGACAAAGTCCATCTGAAGCTAGCAAAGCACAGGAAGAATATTAGCAGAAGCCTGAAGCAAAAGTCCCATGCTGACTACGATGAAAGGAAAATAGATATTCTTGGTTCCTACTCTTCCTTCCCTACTACTGTTGTCTTTTGTATCTTTGCTGATAGTGGGTCTTGTTGCATATTAAGGGCTCTAGAAATGTGATTGCTTTGCATCTTTGAGTAGAAATCATTTGCATAGTTCTGACACTCTTCAGAACAGAACCAAAAGTAATATATGCTCATAGTTACACTAATGAACAAACATTTATAACTTCAAAGCAGAAGTTACCTGTTTTAAACCATCAAGAGATCCTTACATTATTTTTAAAATGGCAATACTAATATTCTCAATAACAGTTCTTGAAGTGATTGACTGTCACAGTACTGCCTTTTATTGAATAGTATCAGCAGTCAGTGTTCCTTGTTTCTTCCATGCAGTTTGCACAGAATATTTAGAGATTTAGAAAAAATGTTTTCAGCCTATACCTCTGTAGTTTCTGATATTTCCTATTCATTCCAATTGTATATAGTGGTGCCTCGCTTAACAACAATAATCCGTTCCAGGAAAATTGCCGTTCACCGCGTTCCAGTGGGGTAAAAACTCACTGTCCAGCAAAGATCCTCCATACGGCGGCCATTTTCACTGCCTGTATAGCGAGGAATCCGTCCCTAAACACAGTGGGGAGCCATTTTAATTACCCGGTGGCCATTTTGAAACTGCCGATCAGCTGTTTCTAAATCGTTGTTTTGCGAAGAATCGGTTCACGAAGCAGGGAACCAATCATCACAAAGTGAAATTCCCCCCATTTAAACTATCGTTTTGCGATAGCAAAAAGATCGCCGTTAAGCGGATTCGTCGTAATGTGGGGCAATCGTAAAGCGAGGCACCACTGCACTTTTCACCATTTTGGCATTCTTTTGGACTACATTCTTGTTGTCAGGTTACTGATATCTTCTTCCACCATGACCAAGGCACAGAGTTGTTTTTGTACTGACTGGTGTTACTGAAAGTATACTCCTTGCCTTCTCTTTTCTTTGAAGGGCTATCTGGGCATGTTTCAAAACCCAGCATGCCTGCTGTTTTCAGATTCTAAGAAGGCATCTGGAGACTGGCATTTCACTTTGCAGGATGCTGGTCTCACTGTTCAATTATTTTTCTTTTTAGGTAGAAATAATTAAGAGAAGCAGGGAACTAGACCACAAGCTTCTCATATTCAAACTGTCCCCAGACTTTGCTGACCATTTATTCTCCCTATTCTATGGACTTTATAGACTGAAATTCTTTAGCTATAGAGCTGTAGTGGGAATTTGAATCCAGGTTTTTCCAAATCTTGTACACTATGTACTGAAGTACACTGGCTCTGTTTTTAGTCTATAAAGCACCATCCAGCAGGTATTAAATAGCTTAAATAAGTCACATGAATGTGTTACAATTGTATCACAGTATTCATAAACTCCAAATAGTCATTAGGCTTTTGTTTTTAAATCAGCACAAGCTGATTTGCTTTGTTAGTAGATTTAATATTTTCATTAACTTACATAGTAGTGGGGATTAGAAAAGTATTAAAAGTTGAAGGCACAAGATTTTCCAAATACTAAAATATCTACAAATACCACTTTTTACTTTGTTAATCCAGTTTCTGACTGTGCTTCTTTATATTCTATTATTTTGTTATTCAGATGTTATACCCTCCAAAGTTTGGATGAGCTATAGAACTTCAATAAATGGCTTCTGCCTTTTGCAGATTTTTCTTTACTCCTCTTTTTTTGCATTTAGGAGTCCTTATTCATTTCCTAAAGAATGTGTGTATTGTGTTTTGTAATGTCTGGAAGGTAATGGATTCTGGAACCTTCTACAGGGCTGCAGTTACAACTGTTTTTGCCTTCTTCCTTCCTGTTCTAATAAAGTAAGAAATAAATTACCAGTTGTTAGCAGGCCAACTAAATAGTCTTTTTAAAGCAGCAAAATACTGTACCAACTTGACATACAGTGCCCAGTCAAAACGCTGTAATTCTGTTTTCTTGCTAGATCAAAAATAGTTTTATTGCACACTTACGTAACTGTGTATGTTGAGCTGTCACCATTGTGTTTTTTTAACAGGTTGAGAGATTTATTTCCTTCAATGATGGTGTAACCTTTCTTCTGGACCAGCTTTGAGTCTTCAGGACTGCACAGGCTGCATTTTTTTCATTTCCCTGGTTTGCTTCCAAAAGTAAGACTGGATAGCAGAAATTTCTTGAGAAAAGAACCCTCATTTCCCTGGTGTACTTTATCCTCTTCCTTTCAAGATTAGGCAGAAGCAGAAGTTAAGTTGGATTGGTAGGCAGAACCACATCTTTCATTTCATTGAATAGATGAAGGCAAGAGCTGATATGTCATTCACAAGCACACACACACCTACTGTATTTGGATTTTGCAGTGTCCTGTTTTCCCTGTCACCAAATCTGCTTTTGTCTTTCTTGATTGACTCTTTCGGCTTTTTCCAATTTTTTGGTCCAAACTCCTCTTTTTGTTTCAGTATGCAAAGTCCTGTTTGTGTAGTTACACTGGTGTCAACTGGATCTGGGCGCCAGAAAGAATCAATTGAAGCAAATGTAAAGCTTCTGTTCTCCCTCATCTCTTCCTAGGGCTTCCTTTTGCCCTAATTCAAAGTTATTGAGACCCATTTGCTGATGTATATACTCTGCATTGGGATGTGCTGGGTATCCTGAACAGTAATCTATTCTAGACCAGAGGTCTCCAAACTACGGTCCATGGGCAACATCTGGCCCACCTTGCTGTTTTATCCAGCCTGCTCCCTTCAGCCCATGTGGGGGGAGGGCGTGCAGGCATCTGTGTGGTCGTGTGTGGGGGTGTCCGTGCATAGTTTCCTGTTCCTTTGGCCTTCAAAGTTGTTTAAAACAGAGGTCATCAGTCCGTGGTCCGGTGCTGGTCTGTGGCCCGAGCTGGAGCGGGCCGCAAAAACAGACACACACACACTGCATGCACTCCCCTCCGCACAGCTGCTTTGTGCATGTGCCAGCACTGGCACGAGTGCTTCCCCACCCCTTCACGCATGCGCCCAAGCGAAGGCGAGGGGTGCCCCGCGCATGCGCAAAGGGGTGGGGGAGCGCTCACACCTGCGCTGTCAGGCAGGTGGGTGCTCCCCCACCACTTAGTGCATGTGCCCGAGCACCTGTGTGGGCAGGCAGGCAGACGCCCCTCCGCATGTACGAAAGGGTGGAGGAGCACTCATGCCAGCACGGACAGGTCCGTGGGCACTCCCCCACTGCTTTGTGCATGTGCCCGAGAGCATGCGCGCACCTGTGGGGGGGCGCCTTCCTCAGAGGCTCAGCCGGTCCACGGTCCCAAAAAGGTTGGGGACTGCTGGTTTAAAATATCTGGTGTGGCCCTCACGGTCAAAAGTTTGGAGACCCCTGATCCAGGTCTGTGAGTCTTAGTCATTTCAAGCCATTAGAAGTAATCATTTCAAACCATTATCCTTTTTTGGTTATTGTGCATCCCTTTGGCCTGTTTAATTTCTGATTATGGTAATGTTTAATTTCTGATTATGGTAATGCATGCAAGGTAGAGCTGAATATGCCATTATTGTATGTTTTACCTAGGAAGGACTTAAGTCTTGCATGCTTGATGATTTAAGATTTTTCTTACTGAACAAGAACTGCCCCCTAGGGAAATGCTCTTGTTAAGTCTCTCCAGTGAATTAAAAGAAGAGAAGGATTTAGGATACAGAATGGCACATCTGTAGGAGAAAACGCAAGATTCTTTTTAAAAATACATCTGACATTTCATTAATTTACTTTGTTGCAAAGTAAATTAATGCTGTGTTTCAGAGGCAGCAGTGGCAAATCCAGCAATGACTGACACATTCTGGGTATCCAGTTCTGGCCTGGTTCCCTGACTCCAGGAAGTTAGGAGGTATTAGCTACCTAAATGTTTAAGAACTGAACTAGTCAGAAGCAATGGTGAATAACGATGACAGTGATAAATTCAAATACACTACGATCTCAAAATGTAGTTGAACCTAAATAAAATAAGAAAGTTCTGAAAAGAACATCACTATGAAGCCTTGCTTTATTATAGATAAAATTGTTCCAGAATCTTGGTGAAACATGTACACACCACATCTTTGTGAGTATAAAAATGGGGAGCAGGACCATACATACACTCTTGGGCTTGTTGGAAATAGGCAGGGTTTAAATGTAGCAAATCAAGTAAACTGTAATCTGGTACCTGCAGCACCTACCAGTGATCATTTATTCAATCTACAATCTCCATCTCTAGATTGGATCTGAAATGCAGACCAAATTGCCCCAAAAGCTATTGTTGTTTTTGGATGTGTTTCCCCCACCCCCATCTGCTGCTTTTCCTGTTTTTTCTCCTCTGGAGGAGCCTCGTGAGGCATTGGTTAAGCTGTTGTACTGCAGCCAAAACTCTGCTCACAACCCAGTTCAATTCCAGGTAGACAGCTTGAGGTTCACTCAGCCTTCTAGCCTTCTGAGGTTAGTAAATTGAGTACCAAGCTTGCTGCGGTGGGCAAAGTGTAGCCTGCATAATTCAGTTGTAAAACAGCCCAGATAGTGCTTTAAGTGCTTTGTTTTGCTTTTTCTGATAGAGAGTTCCAGAATGCTAAAGCTTGCATACACTTTTGACACTTTGGCTAGTCTGTACAAAAATCCTGGGCAGTTGGGAAGCATTTATTTTGAGTGCTTCAAACAAAAATAGTAGCATGTCTTGTCTTTTCCGCTGTCAAGAAAGAAAAGAAGCACCAGTTACGTTTGCCACTTCATTGTGTGTCAAAGGAGGATTGCTCATGCTGAGCATGCCAAGGGTTGGACTAATTAAGTGAAAGCCGTGGCGGGAGGTTGAATGGAACTAATAATTTTATTTTTACTAGCACTGTCTTTCTAATCATTACTAATGGTAAATACAGTATTGACCACAAGGAAAGTAGGAACTAAAGTTTTATGTAAAGTTTTGGACAGTGGGGTGCAAAGCAAGTTGTGACTAACCTCTCAGATTCCCCTTCTTTCACTTAATGTCACAGATTTGGCATTTTTCAGCTGTCCAAAAGGTATGAACTCCAGGTATAAACTTAATTATCTTTCCTTACCAAGCTTTTTGAACTGCATGAAGCCCTTGGCCCAGACTCTGCTGGAGCACTCTTTATCTACATGTATGTTTGATATTTTCTGAGGACCTGAAATGCTATTTACAAAAGCTGTGCTAACTTGCATGCATGCACGTACACACACACACACACACAGTTTACAAAAGCTGTTTTAACTTGCATGCATGCACATACACACACACACACACACACGCATGCATGCATACATACATGAATACATGCATACATACATGGGTTCCATTTTGAAACTTGACTACTTTTAATTAAGCCATCTGCTTTTAAAACCTCCAGTACAATGACTGACCTTTTGGAACATCGTGAGTAGTTTTGTTGGAAAGTCAGCAATACCATTTTGTTAAAAAAAAAATGTAAGAACTCTTAGGTGAATGCCTTTTGAACCTACGGAGTTGCTAACTGATTATTTGCGGTTATAGTTCATCCCTTGCCATTACTATAAGTCAGAATTGACTTGATAGCACACAGTTGTTGTAATTACTATTAGATTACAGAAGACTATGCAGTCAAAAACAACAATCAATTACATTACTGAAATTCTAGCATAATTAGGCTTCATATCACAATCATTTCTCTCAGATAATGCTTCCGCTTTTAGTTCCAGTTAAGTAAGTGTTTGTATGTTGCTGCTGGCTGTCAGCCATTTCCATTCAGGATTTATGATATGTACTTTTTAACATTGGCAGAGTGGAGTTTGTGTCTGAGGATGTTATCTTATATCTTTCTTTTCTTTTTTCCCCTCCCAGATATGCATATGGTTGATTTGTCTACAGTACTGGGGATAAGTGATTCATTTTGAAATGTTTGCTGCAGCTGCAGATTTGGACGTAGAGGTTCCTTCATTATTATGGGGCTTGAATCCTATATTTTCAGCCTTTGCAAAGTTGTATATTAAAGATATACTAGAAATGAAAGAATCTAAACAGGTTCCTGGTAAGTAGTCAGATTACAGTATGATGTGTAACAGCATCTCATTATAATGAAACGTTTCTGTGCTGCAATGGTTGTTTGGCCTCAATTATTATTATTGGCCTTAAGAAGGAAAGGGATACAGCTTTATTGATTATAACAGCAGTTTTCCTGGCACAGCATTGGGAATTGATTCAGTGCATCGAGCTACCTGAATGTCCCCTGTCTTCACCAGGAGTGACAGTCTCTTGGAGAACAGTTTTAAAACTTCAGACTGTGTAATAAAGCAGTTTAGATTGAAACCCTCTGTTCATATCCACCATTTGAGTAGAGAAGCATAGGACTGCATTGTTAAAAATGTAAAGTGCTACAGTCGTACCTTGCTTAACAATTGCCTCACTTAACGAGGAAATTGCTTGACGATTAGGTTTTTGCGATCGCAAAACAATGGTTTAAATGGGAAAAATCTGCTTCATGATTATCGGTACCCTGCCTTGGGAACTGATTTTCGCATTATGACAATCTAAAAACAGCTGATCATCGGGTTTCAAAAGGGCCCCCGGGTGTACAAAATTCCCCCCCCCCCCTGCTGTTTTCTAGGACGGATTCCTCACTTTACAGGCACCGAAAATGTCCGCCTCTATGGAGGATCTTTGCTGGACGGTGAATTTTCAGCCCATTGGAACGCATTGAAGGGTTTTCATTGTGTTTCAATGGGCTTTTTTATTTCACTTAACGAGGATTTCGCTCTACAGCGATTTTGCTGGAACGGATTATCCTCGTTAAGCGAGGCACCACTGTATTTGAGTCATGTACAGTGTATCAAGTGGAATATGTGAAATGAACATTGTAAAGTAGGTGTAATTTAATAACAAAGTGCCACATCTAGGCTATTTAGATTAAGTAATATTATAGGAAAGATTATTTTAATCAACTATCTAACTATGTAAATAATAATATAGTGATCCCAAGAATTGGCTGGTTTTGTATTGAGAATAAGCAAATTAAAGATCTAAATAACTTTGATAGAAAATTCAGTAGGAAGTTTTAAAACAGCTATTTAAAGAATTTTGGAAACAATATACGTAATTTTTTAGTTTTGTAATACATTTCCTGAAATCCAGTAGTAAGTTTCAGCTATAGTAGGCCCATTGAATCAGTGGAATTCATGGAGGAGTTGTCTCATTAAACCCCAGTAATTCAATGGGTCTACTTTAGTTGTGACTTACTGTTGGATTTCAGGCATTGTTTTCTTTTTTAACTTATTTGTAACATAATTTCTTGTGCTATATGTCTAATTCCAATCATGTTATATATAATGCAGATAAGCCACATACTTATTTTACCTTTCCTGTTCTAATTTTCATCAAAGCTGGCCTTTCTATTCTAATTGTATTTTCTCAAATTATATAGAATTATATACAATTCCTTTATATTGTTGATTCGGAGGCTATCAAGTGTAAATTTACATACAGTTGTTGCGAAGAACTCTAGCATTTTTCTTTTCCTGAAGGAGAAAAAGTCTCCACCTCCTCCAATAATATGGCATTTTCCAAGCAAACAAAATCTCAATATGTTGATGCCAAGAAAATGGGCTTGTTGAATAGCAAATCAGTTTCACATCACCTTGGTAGTTTTACCGCTAACTTTAGATAGTAGCCAATAAAAGTTATGTTGGACTACTCTTCCATTATCAAAGTCTGCACAGTTGATGGTTGGGGATTATATAAATTACAGATCAGCACAATCTAGCTTGCCAACCAAGCAACTCTCCTATACATTTACTAGATGAAGCTACGTAGAGGAATTTTATGTGTGCGAAAAAGTGTGCTGAAGTACATTCTATCATTGCTTTTACTAAATAACAAATTGTAAAAGTAGTCATCTTTCTAACTGCCCTACACCAAGGACCAGTTGTTAAGTCCTGTGTATATAGAAGGAGGAGGAAAAACAGTTTCTGAACAACCTTTCATTAAACGTTCCGGTTTCTGTGTGTGACTGTGTACCACACCTTATTTTTCTCTTCACTGCTGCTGAAAGCGATATGCTTTGTCTGGTTTCCTGTTCTGTTCTAGTCAGTGTTGCCCGTATCACTTCCTTTCAAAACTGACCTTTTGGTTGTTCTTTATTACTCATGCTTGCAGGCCTTGCATCCAAGCATGGAAAATTAACATTTTGGTGTGACTGCATCTCCCAGAATTCTGTGGCCAGTGGTCAGGCAATTCTGAGTGTTGCAGTTAAGGGGGCGGGGGGGAAGTAGCTGTTTCCCATCTCTGCCTGCACCTTTGCACAGGGAGCACTTGAAAGATCTCAAACGGGGTCAGTTTAAGGCAAAACTAATGCTCAAAATTTAATACTATCTCCAGGCAGGCCAGTTTTCTTCTGGTCAAGCAACCCTGCTTTATATGTATAGATACTGAGGTACAAAGCTGATGAATCATTTAATTCAATGGTTCCCAACCTTGAGAGCCCAGGTGTTCTTGGACTCCCAAAAATCCTGGCCAGCACAGCTAGTGGGGAAGGCGTCTGGGAGTTTTAGTCCAAGAACACCTGGGGACCTAAGGTTGGGAACCACTGATTAATTGTTGCATAGAAAACATTGTACCTTGTTCTTTAGTAAACTTTAAGAAAAATGCATGCCAGAAAAGTGAATATGAATATTTGTATTAAAAGCTGCATACATGTAATATAGTCAGTTATAAGAAGTTTGGCTTATAGTGTTTTGTTTTCCTGATTGGTGAATTTAGATACTGCAATGTAAATTTTACATTTATTAATCTCTCTTTATGTATCTGTGATTTTGGCAGTTTAAAAAAACACATCCACTTAGACTTCTCAGAGTCTATTGGTGATATTTTATTTGTAATTTTTTTTAACATGGGTGTGGGGAGGGCGGCTGCAACAAAGATGTCCAAGTATAATTTAACTTTGCTAATCAAATCTCAAATGAGAGCGCTCAAGGGGAACTATCATATCACTTGGAAATGCTGAGGAAGTTGTGTAACACAATCCAAAGCATGTTTACTCAAAAATAAGTATCTATTTTATCTTCAATTTTTATCCAAAAAGATACTCCATTGAAAAGGTCCTCCAGCAAATACATATAAGATGGTAACTTAATTTGAAAAATATGTTATTTAATTTTTATCAAGAGATGATATCAGAGATTTATATTTTGGTCAGTGTGTGAAAAAATCTCTGTTGATTTATTGACATTAATATTGATTGAATAAAACTAAGAGCAGGCACTATAATGTTTTTCAGATGATATGGAGATTAAGAATCTAATACAGACATCTGTATTTTTGTCCCCTTTCTAGGTGTATTCTTTTATAATAGACATCCAATAAGGCAGGTGGATATTCTTGGAACTGTGGTTCTAACTAAAGAACGAGACGCCTTTTATACTTATGGAGGTAAGAAATTGTGATTTGTACCAACATTTCTGCCATTCTTAATAGCCATTTGTACCCAGATTTCAATGAACCCACCCTGACTGAACAATTGTTAGTTCAAAAATACTTTTTAGTGCTACATAACATGAACTTTGGCTTTACCGCAAACAATAAAGGGGTGGGTTTTATAAATTAATGGCAGAACAGATGCTTTGCTCACAGGACCTCCTATGGATTTTCTCAAGGCAAAAACTGAAGAGCTGAATATATTATTCTCCCATGCCTAGGGAGGAATATTTATGTCACTCCAGCACTTAGTGTGCTTCTGCTTTGCACAGTGGCTCTTTGGTCTGAATGCAGAAGCTGTGTCTCCATCATGTTTGCCTGTTTTTAGACATCTTTCCCCTCGTAATCAGCTCAGTGCAGAGAGATCCTTTTGTTTCATGTTATCTTTCAGTGAAGGGCAAAAAAACATCAAATCTGTTACTCCCCCCCAATATCTTCTGAATATTCTTTGTTTAAATCTTTTTGCCAAACTTCTCCTCCCTCTTTCCTTTAGCCATAGTCAGGCAGTTAGGCCAAAATGAACTATAGTTTCTACTTACACTGTTCAGCTTCCACTTGTATTTAAAAATGAGGCTGTGCCAGCTGAGCAGCTGACTGGCAAGTGTTACATCATCTAGATGAAGTGCCTGGATCTACTGAACTATAACACTCCTCTGCTTGGACACAAATTGCTGGAATACAAATTGCTGTTTTGCTAAAAATCTGGATTTATGTATCTTAATTGATTTTTTCCCCAAAGGAAAGATGTTGATTGTTGTGCACTTGGGTTGTACACAGTTCATATTCATTATTAACACACGTTTATAAGTCAGTGGTCCAAAAAAACCATGCATCCTGTTGTTGAATGGGATTAATAACTGGTTTAAAGACACAGAAAAAGGAAAAGAATCAGGGCCAAGAATGTTGCAAGTTTATTTATGTTCAAGGTGTTTCAGTTGAAGTTTTGGTTGCCCACCTCCTTGTGAGCATCAGGTTCAAGTGGGTACTGAAAAGTGACCACTCAGTATTAACATTGTCCTCGTGCATCCTCCTTCTGTGATTGTTTCAATTTGCGGCTAAACATGGGGACATAGAAAGCTGCTTATTTCTGCTGATTCCATCCCTGCTACAGTTTTATGTACCAAGTTAAGATAACTGCCTGACTTGGCATCTATTTTGAGGAAGATAATCAGTATTAGATATTTCGAAGGAGGGAATGTGTGTAGTCATTGAGTTTTTGCAGAACCTCAAACACAAAAGGTGGGAATTGGAACTGGGGTCATAGGCAGAAACAGAGTTTCTTCAACAGTAAACTTGAGATAAAAGAGATCAGACAGAACATTGATAATGAGAATAATTTTGCCCTGGAATGGGGAAGAAGCCATATCAATCACAATATAAGCCCAAAAAGCAAGCATTTTTTTTCTCTGAACTAGAGCTTAGTTCTAAATGTTCTTTCCCTTTGGTAATCTTCAGTACCTTCTCAGTGTACAAATACCTTAATCACAGCTGTACAAAGACTATGAGAGAATTTTAGAGGATGGGCTGTATTGTGTATTGACCACTTTTTTGTATAGGATTAATCAAGCCATTTCCGATTTCTTGATTTGCTGCAGTATACAAAAGGTTGAAAAAAGGAAAGAAAAGGGGAGGCAACTGATAGAGTCTAAGGTATGTTTTGCTTGTTAGGTTCAAACAAAAAAAGTTGCTAGGCAAAAACAGAGCTTGGAAAAAAAATAAGAGATCTGTGATGTGTGGTTTTTGTCTTCTGGAATGGCAAACTTCCATTGAAAGTAACTATTTGTTGCTGCTCTTTTTTAGTGGATGACGGCACAGGTGTTATAAATTGCACCTGCTGGAAAAATTCTTGGGCAGAACAGAAACCTTTGTCAGGTAACATTCAGATCCATGGCTTCTTGCCTTCAGCTTTAGATTTCAGAATATTTATTAGCATACACTGTACTCATGGATGTTTCCCAAGGCATACATAACTTTTCTGCTTAGCTTTTCTGTATTGTTCTAACATAATGTGATTGCTAGTAAATGAACCTCTCCAAGATGCCTTTATTACCAGATATGGTCTAGTCTGGCTGATGTTTCGTTCAAGTGATCAGATCTGACCAAGTGGACTTTCTTATTGTTACGCCAAATATAATTCCTCCATTCTGCAGAATGAACACTTTTCTAATGAGTGATGTCTTTGCATATACAAGTAGCTACCCTGTCTAGTCTTTGCCAAATTATTTAAGGATTCTTAGATTCTCCAGAATGCAGGGGCATTGGAATCTACTTGCATATATTTTCATTTATCTGGATATTTTCTTCCATTTTTATTTTCTCTTGTGCTCCAGTGATAAGTTCATACTGTATCTAGAAGTTCTTGCATGCTAATAATCTGTAAATTTTGATGGAGTTTAAAAAACTTTTGTTGAGTGCCTGAAAAAGAAATGTGTTTTTCCATGCTTCTGTGCAGTTGACTTACATTGCTACCCAGAAATAGAGTGGGAGTCTCCTTCTCTTAAGTGGTTGCAGGGTAAATGGGAGGCCAGACTACTAAATGCATTTTTTAAAAATATGCCAGAACAGAAACAGAGATATTTTATGTTATAGACCACCTTTTTGCTTCTTATATTCTTTGTCTACTTCCTATTGCCACAGTCCTTAACTGCTCTTTATTGTTGTCTCAGTCTTCAGTGTCCAGGAAATAATGGGTGTGGTTAAGAAAATAATTTTGATATCTGATGCACTGAAAGTAGCAGTACAATCCTCCTTTAATGTGCAATTGAAGTCTGTTTGTCAATTTTAAATTACTTACAATATGCTGGGAGCCTGAAACTCAAAGTTCTATTCAGTTGTGCTAGGAGTGGGTGGGGGAACAGTTACTAAAGAAGTTACATTTTCTTTCACATTGACTTAGCTGTGAATCTGATGAACACTGAAGTCCACAAGGGAGGCACAGAAGTGTTCAGTAGTCTTTGTTATAATTTATTCAGACAGATTCTTTTTTCCAATTCTGCATTTAGAACCCGTGCAGCCCAGGATCAAAAACTGAATTTTATGTGGTGGATTAATATAAAAGTTCTGTCAACATGCAGTTGAGTGTTGGCAGATTCTAACAGTGGGCTTTTCTTTTGCTTTTTGTAATACCAAAACTTACCGTACTTAGAGTTTATGATGGTTGTAAAATTTTATTTTTATTTTCTCTTTGCATTCAGGCCTGAATGGCAAGACAGAAATATTATTAGTCTGTCGTAACAACAGAAATTTGGCTGGCACCCTCGCTGGGTGTTTTTAAAAGCCAGTTAAAACCTTGGTTATTCAAGCAGGCCTTCTCTCCAGTCACTTAAGTCTTTCTCCTTTTTTCTTTTCTTTGCTATTCCATCTTGGTAATCCTCTCTTTAAATTAATTGTTTTAAATTGAAATTGTAATTGTAATTTTATGATTTTATATATATTTTATACTGTTCTGTTTTATTTTGTAAGCCGCCCCCAGTAGACATGGTCTAGAGGGGTGGGGTAAAAATCAAATAAATAAATAAATAAATAACACAGACAGAATCCAGTCTCTTTAAAAATTACAGTATGTATTGTGTTTTGACCCATCATGAGCAAATGTCTGTTCATCAGATAATGAAAGGGACAAGGACAGATATTGCATACAAATAAGTCCAGTGTAGAAAGGAAAGGGTGGTTTATGAGTGGTGAGATAGTAACATTCATCAGTCAGCTGAAGTTAATAAGATAAGTTTGAATGTCCTGGAGCTGCTGGTTTTAATAATTAGATATCCATGTGACACAAATGACTGTGATAAGAAAACACCTTGAGATTTAGAGTATGATGGTATGTCATCACAGTAATCTGAGCATACACTCTTGGTTTCAAGTATTTGTACTTTTCAGGAATATCTTATACAGTTACTGTATCTTGTACAGGTTTGTCATAGAGCTGCAAAAGTAAATGTACCACATTGGAAAAGAATGGTGAGTGGAGTCTGAAGACTAAGGGACTGCATCATATCAGAAAGCAACATAATGGCTCTTTACTACTTAGATTTGTAATTATGTCCTGTTCTGCTCCATCACACCATAAGAGAAACTTGTAGTAGCTTTTATTTATCCCCTTATTCCTTATTGCCGGATTGTTGCTAATAAAACAGCACTGATGTGATTTTTTTTTCTTCTTCACAGATTTCCAGTCTCCTCCCAGTACCTCAGGCAGTCTGGACCTTAAGGAACAGATAAGAAAGCTTCAGTTAGCAATTCATCAAAAGACAAGGCTGGAAATTGGTGATGTTGTCAGAGTTCGGGGCTCCATTCGGATCTACAGACAGCAGCGGGAAATCAAAGCCTCCCTGTATTGTGAGCAGTTATTCTTCCACTAGTCTGTATTTTTGTCCTGGCATTTAATGCTTACATAATTATAACTTCAGCAGCCTGCAATTTCCCTAAGCTTTGCCAAGATTGTTTTTAGTCTCAGCTGGGCCATTTTGAGTCACTGATCCACACCCCTATGACTGCTGCTATTTATAACCGAAAAGACACGAATGGACAATTTTGACAGAGCAAGAAACCAAATTTTTGCCCCAAACGCCACAGACAGCACCAGATCCAAAAATGGTGAAAATGTTCAGAAATCACCAAAATGAAACAAGCATATAAAACATCTGAATTGGTGAGATCTTCCAAATGCAGTTCCAGAGACTTAAAGGAAAATAGTGGTATACTTCCTCTCCTGCCCATAGATATTTGACACAGTAAATTCCGAGTATTTTACACAGCAGATTTTGACATTTGTATAGTAGTAAATACTTTATTACAACCAACAGATCAAATTTTTATTTTTTTCAGATAAAGTTGATGATCCTATGTTTGATGTCCAGATTGCAAGGATGCTGGAACTCCCTAATTTGTACAGAGACATATATGATACGTCATTCCAGTTTCCAGAAGAGGTACAAAGGTCAGTTAGACGTATATCTAAAGGAAATAGATAATTTGAGATACAAGTTAAGAGGTGGGGCTAGGGCCTGAGTTGCACAGAGTATGGAATCCAGGATGGAGAACATGAACTAAAGGCTCCTGGGTGGCATCCTATGGAAATTTAGTTGGTACAGTGGAGAAAGCATGAAAATGTGATAAGATCAGAAACAGAAGAAGGTACAAAAATATGATAGGAAGAGATGCTAGTGATTTGTCTACAGCTGAAAGAGCTATAAGAAACAATGGCATAACCAAATGTCGTCAGCAAATACATCCAATTATTATCTTGAATAATCGGAAGTCAGAAGGGATAGTCAAACTCTTGACTCTCAAGGACATCTCATTTCGTGGGTTGTTACAAAATATAGTGCTCATGTATCTGGAGAAATTGAAATAGAGCTAAGGAAACAACTGGAGGAGTTAAATACAGCTCATAAATTGATTCATGCTGTGAGGCCTCAAAGCACTAGGAAGCAGTATTGTATCACAATTATCTTTTTCCGTTTTAATTCAATTTATTCTCCCTTAACAGTGGCAGAAGTATAGCAGACATGTTGGGCTCCATCAGTATACTGAGTGAAAAAATAAGAGTCTTCCTGATGCAGAACAAAATTCAGAGCTTCTATAAGCAGGACTTGGAAACAGTGAAAGATCTTGTATCTCTGGTCAAGGATGGAGGTCAGAGTACCAATGCTGAACAAGTGAGTAAAAGTTACTTTGCATGCATTTATCTTCTTGTCAGGTCAAGTGAGAGCCATGCAGTTGTTGTGAATTTAAGAATACAAAACCTGCACCAATTAACAGTATGCTGGTATGCTCTAAACTTTTTATCTCCAGTAAGGAAGAATAGAAACTAATGTGTTAAACCACAGTTAAAGCTTTGATTCTCAAGGAACTGGATGATCAGCTATGTTTCACACATGGCTTTAAAGGGAACAGATCTGTTCTATCTATAAAAACCAACTGCGGAAATTAAAACATGGCTTTTAACTTCCATTTTAATTTCTGTCAGAACCATAATTAAAAAAACCTTTGAACTGCAGCGCTGTGTAAGGCAGTGGTCCCCAACCTTGGGCCTCCAGACTACAACTCCCAGAAGCCTTCAGCACCATTTTTGCTGGCCAGGATTTTTGGGAGTTGAAGTCCAAGAACATATGGAAGTCCAAGATTGGGGACCACTGCTGTAAGGGATCCTATGGATCATATAATCCAGCCCCTGTCAAAGAAGCACAGTGGCGAATTGAGCTTCCAACCTCTGACTCCATAGCCAGAGACATAAGCCACCAAGCTATCCAGCAGTTCATGTTAGGAAGCTATTGGTGTATGGGAGCTCACTTGCACAATGCATCAACTGAGTGACAAGACTGGTTGGGTGATTCTGAATTTAAGCAAGAACAAGATAATAAGATGGGACCTTCTGTAGGAAATTATAATGCATGTGTGACATCTGCTCCGTATCACACATTCTTGGACATTCAGAGGAAAAAAATAGATAGCTCCAATCCTTAAGCTCTAATTAGATTTATTTATAAAATAAATGCTTGATTGAGAGTTAGACCATTTTCCAATAGCGTAAGACTTCTTCATTTCATTGCATTTCTGGTTAAGTAGCAACGTGTTTATAGAAGATTCATAGCATGCAGAGAATAAAGTCAGGAGCCAGATATCCACTTGGTGCAAAGGGAAGTGAAGTTATGTGTATGGCATAAATTGAGAACCTGTGCTGAACTTGGAGAATTATTTCAAATCGTTGCTGTAATGTAACAATTAATACTGAATAATGGTACATAGAATATTGAAGTTAGAGAAGAAACAAAATTTTGGCAAATTCCCAGCACTGTGGGAGTATATTTCAATCTCTCCAAAACTTTTCACTAAATTTAAGAAATAACAAATCCACCTCCCATTCATACTGGGTGTTCTGAATTCTTTCCTGGTGGTTGCTTCCTGAGAACCATTTGTTTTTACAGAGTGATGTTTGTAATTGAACTTTAATAAAATAAATAGGTTTGGATCTTAACAAGAATCCTGCTGGTCTGTGGCAGAGGAATATAATACAGAAACATCAAACAGCAGAGGTGGAATTAGTTTCTCAAACCATCTGGCATAATAAGGTAATTCTAGAGAAAGTTGAAGGCTCTCCCAAGCTTTTTGGCTCAGTGAGTTGAGGGCTGTGCACATCAGTTACCATGATAACAAATGAATTGTGTTGCTGTAAAGCATAGATGGTATGCACCCATGCCCAATGTCTCTTTGTGATATGAACTCCAGTGCTTCTGTAATCCATCTTGAACATCGGGCATTTTTCTATTCCATATGTTGTAAAAACCTATTTTGCAACATCTTGCGGATCACTTTGCTTGCAATGGGAAATTAATTTACTTTGCTATATACTTTGTTGCACATGGGGAAAATATGAATATTCCCAACCAACATTCCCTCTAATTTTCCAGAGCACTGCACAGAGGCTCTGCCCCCTGTGTGTGGGATTCTGGCTGTGACCAGAAGCAAATGGGTGGAAACACCAGCTCGGCTCTGCATGACCAATGCAATGCTGCATGTCTGTGCACCTTAGAGGGAACATTGTTCCCAACCCATGCCTATGGCCCAATTGCTACTTCTGTGGACATCTGTTCTTAGTAAATAACTGAACTTCTTCATCTGCATCCCTTCAAAATGTCTACTGTTTAGGGAAGTCTGGTTTCTCATCTTACATTCCCAAGCTTTTTTTGCTGTCTGTATACTTCCTTATTGTACAACTTCAGTTCCACAAGCACTTGAGTTAAAACTTCTAACTGAAACAGGGGGAAGGGGGAATCAAAGGGCAAGAAGTTTTTTAAAAATGAAAAACAGCTCTAAATCTTTTGTCTTCTGCCGTTTTATTGAATGGGTACAATCTTCCCGCACCAAAGAATGTTGATAGTCTTTGGTTTCTGTTGCTGCATTGGCATTCTCAGAGTCCCTGATAACAAAGCAAGGATGAATGGAAACTTCCAGCATTCTCAGGTGCTTCATTGCTTTACTCTGCATAATTTTATACTAAAAGAAATTGTAGAGAACCTAGACGTTAAATCTAATTCAGGGACTATCTGCTTTGTGTTCCCTTCCTGCTCACCTTTTGCTTCATTGTTTGTATCAAAACTTTTGACATATGAATTCATCTCTTCCCAGTTGCTTGTGAGAAAAAGGAAGAGCAGAATCCCATTTAACTATTAGAGACAGTAATCTACAATATACTTGTTTCTAGCTGCTGGGTGTAAACACTATTCCATTATCCTCAGTAGGAGGTTTGCTGGAGATGAGGGAATAGAGAAGTCCTTCCGACAGTATTTTGAATAGCTTATCCCTTCTGTGTTAACTGGAAACATTGTATGTTACAATATCTGATCAAAGAACAGGTTGTTATTTGCATAATTTAGGATGCTACCACAGTATATGGCTCCATCTTGAAGGTGTCTACTTCTTTCATTTCCTTAATTTCCATACATAACCAGTTTTAAAAATCATATGTTGTGTTCAGTTTTGTGAGATGAGCAGCAGTGAAATTCTGTGAAATACTCTTGTAATTCCATCCTAGTGAATATCCGATTACTAGTGCAGTAAATCTGTGTTGTCTGTGTGGACTGTTTTTGCCCTTTCGCATGATCCTGTTCTGTAAGTAATCTCAAAGCTAATACTGATACACATCCACCATGAAGCTTTTTGATGTTTTTGTCTATAATCCTGTCAACAGGATCATGTCAGCCTAAGCCTTAAGCTGGGAATCTTGTCAAAGAAGGTAATACAGATGGTCAAATTAAATTCCCTTGCTCTGTATTTGCTGGGAGAAATGATTGCCAGATGTTGCTAGTGAATGAAATAAGATGGCAGAATATAGATCAAATTAAGGTTTAAATTCTGAACCCCTAATCCTGAGTGATGGTCCTCACATATCTGCATGGTTGCTTCTTTGGATTCCTGGACTTTCAGTTGCTTCTTACTTCCTTTGTGAGGGCAAGCATGGAAGTAGAATATGGATCCTCTTCTGGATCGCTTGAATCCGTGGAATCTGAATTAATGCTGTTAGCCTGTCTATTTGTTCTGCAGGTTTGCCACTTCTCAGATAAGCTCTCTATACCTGAAACAGGCTAAAATGGACTCCTGCTGAGTTTCAAATCCAACAGACTGGAGCACACTCTAGTATAGCAGACGTATCCCTTCTTTTTGCATGCCTACTTTCCTTATGTAGTATCAACTGGGAGATACCATACTGTCTTGTATTTTAGCACCATCTAAAAAAAGGTAAAGGTTCCCCTTGATAATTTTTGTCCAGTCGTCTCCGACTCTAGGGAGCAGTGCTCATCTCAGTTTCCAACCCATGGAGCTAGCATTTGTCCAAAGACAATTTTCCGTGGTCACGTGGCCAGTGTTACTTTCTCACCATGGTGGTACCTATTTATCTACTCACATTTTTTTCATTTTGCTTGCTTTCGAACCGCTAGGTTGGCAGGAGCTGGGACAAGCGACGAGGGCTCACTCCGTTGTGTGGATTTGGTCTTACGACTGCAGGTCTTCTGACCTTGCAGCACAGAGGCTTCTGCAGTTTAATCTGCAGCGCTACCACCATCTAGCCCACACCAAATCATCTTTATTGTGGATGGTTGTGAGAAGACATACTTAGCAAGTATTGGTCCCTGTGTTCCAGCAGTCTCCATCTTCAGAAATGAAGGATGGTAGACACTGGTGTGATTAGTGGCCTTTGTGTGTTTGTTGGTATTTTTGGCAAAATCTGCTTTCTAAGTAATTAACTTAAGCCATCTAAGCAATAATGGCGAGATCCTGTTGCATTGTTTTGCCTCAGTGCAACTTGGGTGACGTGCCAGAAACATTTAATTTATTCTAATTAAAAGCTTCCTATCCCCCTATTTTAGATTCCAAGGCTCTCTTGGGCTTACTTTCCCTCAGGATGCTTTGAGAACCTTAGGATGAGGGAGGTGGGAGCCTTTAAAATTCAAACATTACAACAAGATTAGTGGTGGTGATGATCTGGTGGCACCTTTTGACTTTTAAAGGCTCTCAGTCTTGAGGGGCAAAACAGAACCCAAAGGAGCCTCAGAACCTAAAACAGGGATTAAGAAGGTTTTAATGAGCCTAAAGTAAATGTTTCCGACACTTGATCTGAATTGCGCTGGATGTAAGGTTATGCAATAGGATTTTACCCAGTGTGCTGTACCACATAATACTCTGTAATGTTTTTATTTTTTGCACAAAGTGGTTGGGGTATTAGTTTATGGATTTGTTGTTTGGTTTTCAGCGTTGAATTATCTCTGCATAGTACAGAGCTGAAATGCTGACATTTTTAAAAATTAGCCATTTAAAAATCCAGGAAAATGCAAAAGATGCAAAATCCATTAAGAAAGAGGGCAGGGGTTAGAGTGGAGAGCATTTGATGATTATTTTGACTCCAACAGAGAGGTGTTCACTTAATGAAAATCTTCTATACAGAGTAGACAAATTATTCTTTGCAGAAAGAGACGAGGAAGTGGGTTAAATTATATGAAGACAAGTTTTATAACATGCATTATTATGAAGGAAATACATTTATTATGAGAGCAGCTGACCATGGCGCATCAATTTGCTTGGGTAGCTGTACAAACGTTGGCAATACATGAAAGGGATTGCATTGGACTATGCCTTCTAGCCTCATTACTCAGGAAATTCT